TCTTTCTTCTTATTTCCTGTGCTTCTTCTCTCTGTATCCAAAATCAGGTTTATTTTGTTGGTTAGAATTGTGAAGGCTGGTTGTGTGAGGGACTGAGTTCACGCTTCTGTTTATTTTTTAAGACAAAATAAAAATCCAGTCTGACTTTCCAACCATGACTCACACGACTCAATATTAGAGACAAGCTGTGTTCAAGTAGCAAACAAACCTGGTACTGCAGGTTTTTTCAAGTCCGATCACATCTGTCGAAGCAGCAGTGGAAAGATGAGGTCTTTGCCACTCAACGGTGAGGAAAGTTCAGCTCCTGGCACACATCTGAGTGCAGCCTTCAGCACATGTGCTCCATTATAGTGCATACTCCAAATGCTTGACAGAAATTAAAACACATGTATGGAAGCAAAGGATGGCCTTAATGATTTGAATTTTATTTTGAAAACTATCTGCCTGAGTTTACATGGTTTGAATTCCCCTATTCAAAAATTTTAATTGTCCATTTAACAATTTCTAATAAAGAACTGCACCTATTTCACAACGTTAACCATCTGTTAAAAAGGCATCACATACAGACGCACAAGGTAGCCTTCAGCGTCTGTATAGGATGCAGAGGGGCGTGACAAAGTAAAGTAACCTGGCAAGACAAGTTTAAATTTAAAAAAATTCTGACATGAATTTGTGGACCTGGAAGTACATATGGCATTTAAAAAGATATGAAATAAATGTAATTTGAGCAACTTGAATACAGGTTTTTTAAATGTTGTACATTTTAATTTTCTATCTGAGTTTGTGAAACAATTAAAATGTTTTTTTTTCAAATTACACAACTTTAAACTACAAAAAAGGGAATTAAAACTACATGAAATCAGATGATATTCGAACTAAAATATTTCAGTGCTACACATTAATCAAATACATACACACACCAGCATGGTATTTCAGTAGTGACTCAATTTCCCCCTCTGTGAGGAAGTTGTAGCCTTCCTGCTCACCCTCACTGCTTCCACACATGGAAGCACATGCCCCTCTATTGCAACACCTGAAAAATCCAGCAATAAAACAGGTTTGATGAAAACTGTATGAGTATTGTCCAACCTGAGTCTCATTCTATAGCTCTGCCTCCTTAACCCTGTGCCATAGACTAGTAGCTGTAAATGTAGCTTTTGCCAAATCCTGAATTGGCAGCCTGGTTATCAGCTAGCACACCACAGCTCTGGTGGACGTCTGATGCACTCACTCAAAATGCAAATTGAAACTGTAATTCATTTACTGGGAGATAAGAGTGCTACTCTGTCTCAATAATGCCTTTATAGATTGAATATTAAATAACCTTTCGATGGCGATTTTCTTACGGTTTGAATGTCCACTTCCTGGGTTAATTGGATTGAACGGGAAGTGACTCGACTTTCAGCTCAATCGAATTCAGTGCAGGTGCGGACAAGTTCACAAGGCTCTAATTCTATAAATTTCCTTATGCTTGAATAATTTCATGCTTCCTTTTATTCATCAGTATGTATCAGTCTAAAATTAGAACATGTGAAACAATACAGTTTTCACTTCACGCTTTCCTTGCAGCTTTCTGTTTTATTTTGTTTGGTGTATAATTACTCCAATAACACCAGTTTATCTGTTCCTGTCATAAGAAAATAATCGTTTAAAGAACTATAATTTGATTCAATATTGTTGGTATGATTTTCAGAATTTCTTGTGAGCATGGTCAGGGCTGATATTTGTGTTTTAAAAGGGTGCAAGCTTCAGATTATTTAAAATATTAGCAAAAGATTTGATGAATAACATTGGAAATTATGCTTAAAGGGGGATTCCAAGTCAAAGTGTTTCTGTGTAAGGAAATAGAAACCTCTAAACTGTGTCTAAGCTTCAAGCCGCTGGGTGGGATGTTTCCATGGCAGCAGTTGAGAGCATGGCGTTGGAAGACACGCTGTCAACTTTTGTGGTTCGGATGTACCACTGACTGAAGCACGTCATTGTCCTGTATCGCCTGCGAACTATGACACAAAACACTTTCTCCCCCTTTTTAACATGCCCACATAGTGCTGGTTATTTAACTTAAGCAATTTTAGATATTTTTTTGCGTTGTTCAGTTTGTATCCCATTCAAAAAGTGGTAGGCTAACTGGCTAGCGTTAAATGTCTCCCACTTGCGATGGCCCAGACTGTGTGAATCACAACACAGAGTAATTAGCCTGGACAAAGCCTGGCTAGCTGTTATTCCCTGCTTCCAGTCTTTATGCTAAGCTAACCGTCTCGTGGCTGTAGCTTCACATTTAGCCTACGAAAATGAGAGTGATATCAATCTTCTCATCCGGCTCTCGTCAAGAAATCAAATAAGCAGCTGTCTCAAAATGTCAAGCTAGTCCAGCTTTGTTTCGCCAGCGGCCATATCATCATCGAATGATTATTTCCTTTCCAAATGAACATCGTTTGTCTTCTCTGCAAGTCAAAACAATAAAATGTGCGGTTGGGTTTTGGGTGAAGCAGGTTTTAGACTGAAGGTCTAGTCAGGAAACTCTTATCACATGTTCTTTCTACCTGGTCTTTTTCTTTCCTACACTCACTGTTAGCCTCCAAACATTCCTAACATCTACCCAGAAACAGCCCTGAAAAATCATGCTTGTTAACGTGTTGAAATCTCTCTGTTCCAACACACAGCGCTTCCTGTCAAATCGGCTATGTGATAAAAAACCCACTCGACTGTTGCTGCAGTTTTCTGTCTCCCTTTCTGCCCATTTCCCGTGTTTGAGAAAAGCATGACAAATTTTAAACAGAGTAAAGAGAAAGAAAAAGTTTCTCCTCATTGATGCCTGAATGACAAGCTGAACTGACAGGGAGGTACAGAGAGCCAGCAGAGAGGCACAGACATAACTGGGTGTCTATGTACATGCATTATGCACACACACCTTCAATCACACGTGCACAGACAGGAAGCGCACACGAGCGCACCACACCTCCCACGCTACCAAAACACTATCTCACCTGACAAATTAGAATGTGTGCGAGCCTGCCTGGTTTTTGACATTGCAGGTATCTGTCACATTTCTGTCAGAGCTTCACGTTGGTTTCACATCGAGAAAAAGAAACCCAAAATGAACCCACATGTCATCCCCCCACCAACCCACCTCCCCCCTCCCCTCTCTCTCTCTGTCCGTTCTCTCCTCTGTCTTTCTCCACTGGGTATTGTCGAATGAAGCAGGAATATGGAGCAGAAGTCAACATCACATGCTGCATAATTTCCAGTCTCCTATTGTAATTGCTGAGGCTTTTATAAAAGATTCAGCAACAACGTCCATGGTTTGATTGTGAATGAAGCAGGGTCTTACGGTTTAAATGAAAGATTTTGTGTGTTGTTTTTTTTTTTCCTTATCCAATCGGCTGGAGCTAACATTGATCGAGCACAACTGCCAAGAATGGACTAATGCTAGGTGTTATAAAGTATAACAACAATCTTGATTTGAGTAACACGGTTCATTCTGATAGCACAAATATTGAGGGAAAAAGCTGGGACTAATATAGCGATGATGCTAGAATAAAATGGTTTAATAAATGCATTTGTTGCCTAATGAGGAAAAGGCCTAAAGCAGTAAATGACCTAATAAGAATATGTGATAAATTAATGAACAGTTGAACACCCAAAGGAGCTAATACGTGATGGGTTCTCTCGTCTACATGCTGAAAAATACACAAAAGTAGTGTTAAAACAATTACATTTTGATTAGTGATGAATCATTTCAGTCATTTACCTTGTAAAAATACTAAACAATCAGTGGTTCAAGCTTCTCAAATGTAAGAATTAGTTGTTTTTAAGAAAAAACTGTAAAAAATGTAAAATTGTTGTCATTTTGGGCCTATGTGACTTGTATTGGTGTTTTTAGTGACGCTAGCTGTGTGGCTCCAGGCGTGGCAATGTCTGTTGGTTGGTCGGTCGGTTGGTCCACACTGATATATCTTAATAAGTGTTTTAATAATTAACAACTACCAGATGGACTGACTTGAAATTTGGTCCTGACATTCTCAATCTTACTGACTTTGGTGATCCTTGGACTTTTCCTCTAGCACCACAGTGAGGTTGAAATATCTCAACAGCTGGATGGGTCGCCATAAACCTTAAAGATCAAACTTTGGTTACCCTCTGACGTCTCATAACGCCATCATCAGGTCAACATTTGAATTTGTGTAAACAGTAGCATGTTAGTAGTTAGCTCAAAGCACAACCCCAACAACAACCCCTTGTTACACTATTTCCACCATTTAACGGACTAAATCATTAAGTCAGATTAACTGAAAGTGTTAATAATATGTTGGTGAAAAAGAAAATGAGTCACAGAGACAGCTGAAGAAGGAGAATCATGTTGCATGTACTGTTTCAAGAGCACCATCTCTGGCCAGAATTGTTCTAGTAAAGAAAGGACTGATTGTAATCCACCCACTTCTTCTTCAGAGAAAGATCATCAATAATTAATCACTTAGGAGTTGGATGATGTCACCGTTCCCTCCTTTTGCTGCAAAGTTTGACTTTCTGAAATGGAAAGAATTATTTTTGACCTTCGCCTAAATTCTTACCTTTGTAGAAAAGCAGCTCATTACTTTCTGAGGAATGTGCAGCAGAGGTGTGTGCGTGCCTGATGTCCAACTGAAAATAATTAGCTGGTCTGTTGGGCAGCAAAGTCTGAGAGAGGCAGATGCAGGATTTCTGCATAAACTTTTAATATGTGTGTGTGTGTGTG